GCTTTCCGATCTCGGAGACACGGAAGGATTCGGTAAACCCGGCACCGATGGTAAGTTATACGCTTTACACTTACACGATAATGTATACAATCGGAAAGAAGTCACATTCACGGGTAATCTAGGAGATTTAAGCGATGTCGATGTTAGTAGACTCCTTAAAAACACTTCGTACAATATTACTCGCAACGACGATAATAAATGGACTATGGTTGAAGCAAACATCGAGTGGCTACTGAATATCGTCATTACCCCACCTTATGTGATGATGGGTAAGGGACATAATTTAATTAAGATAATAAATAGTGGCATCGTACTCGCGGCTTATATCCCATGAAAACGAAAAAGTGTGTTGGTTACCCCCCTGCCAGAAAACCCATATATGATATATAGTCGTCCGGCCTTAAATAATGTTAGTTTAAATTTGGTTACTGAATTCGAAGATATTAAAGATAACTTGAATGCAATACCTAATCTTTCTACGCTTATTATTGAAGTCTTGTTCGGAGATGCACCGGAAGATGCCTTCGATATATTACCAGGTCTATCGATTAAATGGCAAAAGAAACACCAACGTCAACGTTGCAGTATTATTCATATCGGAGCATCGCCCGTTGCAACCCTCGAGGGGGTCCAAATTATTAAAAGTGACAGTATTTCTCTTTCTAAGATATTCTTGCCGTATAATATACATTTGATAAGATTGATGTATAGTCTCAAAACATTTAAGCAAGACCAATTAAAGACTATTATATGATCGTAATATACACTATGAGTTTATATCCGGCGCTCGGTGAAGCATTTGAAAAGATGGAAACTGTTGATGGATTTCGATTACATCAAATAAGCGACATAAAACATCGAATAGGGAAGGATAGGGAGTTGAGACTTGGATTGTATAAAAAGTATCGCAGAGCCGTGAATGCTCTGGACGGAGTTGACACCGTGCTTTTAGTATCTGGCATGGGACTCGGTGTAGCGGGTATCGGTTTACTATCAACTATAATCGCCGCGCCTATCGTGCTCGGCATGGAAATAACAGCTGGAGTCTCGGGACTGGCAGGAATAGCGATAAAATTCATTTCTCGTAGGTTACAAAAGAAAGCATTAAAACACGATAGTATTCGGATACTCGCCGAAGCAAAGTTGAACAGCATTGAGGATCATATTTCGACAGCAATGGCCGATTGTAAGATATCCGAAGATGAGTTTCTTTAGTGCTGTCGGAACTCACCAAATACAATAAAATGAAGCAGGAGATTCGATCAAAATCTCGTAAGACCAGTGGTATTAGCGAAGACGAGAAAAAAAAGTTCATAGAACAGGGGAGGCAACAAGCGCGTCAATTATTCCGTGCCAAAACAAAAGAACTGGTTGGAGATTAAAAATAGATTGCTTACTATCGTGTGATTACATTTAGACAAATGCTAACATAAATATATAATAATGGAGAAAGCTATTCAATGGAAAGAATTACCACAAGGTTTTTATTATATCAGTGATGCCAAACCAACCAAATACGGTTATCAATTGTTTCTTATCAATTTACAAAAAGAGTGTAGTTATATAGTCTGGTCTCCTAGTAAAATGAACGAAGAACTTAATAAAAATGTTGAATATCGCTTTATCGATAAAAATAATAAAGAATATTTTTATTACCATTTAGACTCATCTAAAACATTGATTGGCCCCAGGTATTGGTGAGCTAGAGCCAATTTAACTTAATCTCATGACTATCATTAAATCACATAATCATTTTGGCATAAATTCCATCTGTAGTAGCAGTATAGGTATATGAATCCGGCTCCAGTGGAAGTGAGCCAGAACCCCCATTACCTATACTACTTGATAACATGCTTGAAGTAAAATATATGGAATCAACACACATCGTCTCATACAAACACAAATAGTTGTTAAACGTTGAAACAAGTTTACCTTCGAAATTATTCCCCTACTCCAATTTACTCAGCGACTCTGATTGGCAGACACAGCTCACTTATTGTGAATGTATTTTTCACTTTAAAGTTTAAAGTACTCAATGTCAAGCTGAAACTGGATTTAAGAATCCTAACATGGTGCTGTCAGATCACAATTTTTCACAATGGCCTCTCGATGTGTCATTTGAACATGTTGAAAGGTTTTACAAGAGATATTTGACAGTAATAACTGATGCTATTTCTGCCCTTACATTACAACAAATAAATCAGCCAATATGGAACTAATATATTGATATGTGGCAACAAACATACTTCAGGCTGTACAGTTTACAAATGGGTTAATATCTATGTCATCTTGTTCCTCCTTATGTCTGGGCAGTTGCTCGCTTACAATTTACAGTTACAGACAGAAAATACCAGAACCGTTTACTACTACAAATCAAATACTGTATGGGTTTCACTGAAAGTATCGCCACAACTGAAAATCCTTAAATACCTGTATTTGGCTACAACTACGACTATTTTTCTCTGTTCCTGCCTATTATCCTCAGGTAAGGATGCAGTGTTTTATTTAAGTGCACACATATATCACAGATAAACTCCTGAAGTCTATGAAAGTTATTTACAAGTTATACACATAAGGACTTAAAGGTGGAGAATGTATTGATGTCAACTTCTTTATTATGATGATCACAACATTTCGGAGTATGTACTTACTCCTTCATTAGGTGAATATTCACAATTCTGCTCCAAATGCTTAGATTAATGCTCATATTGTCAACCATATTTGCCATTTCTATATCATATTCATGTGTATAATACATTTTATTTCTAATAATGGCGTAATTTGGACACACAAATATAAAGTAACCCAATACTTGCCGTAACGGGCGACAATGCTTGTCTAAAGAGTTGACTAACGCAGTCAGGTGGCGGTCAGGCTCGATGACTTAGTTGATGCATGTCATTGATCCCAATTGTGTGGGTCTTTGCTCATGATGTCAATCACTGGACTGTCTGGTCCAGACTCGATTATTTACATATAGCCGGAATATTGCTTGAGTACGGCATAAAACAACAAACCAAATCATAAGTGCGGGGTGAGTGATTTGAAATTAGCAAGTTTTATGTGACCTTCAATCACTACAACCTGATCTGAGTCTTGAAAAGATATGACTTTGATTCAGTGAAAATTTGCATCATGATAGTTTCAACTGTAGATACAGTTAATCTGTGTTTTGTACAGTTTCTGTTTATTAAATGTATATGTTGTTCAAATAAGCTTTGCCTCTTCACCAACCCTCTTCCTCTTTTGGAATAAATAGTGTCTAATAATTCAAACACCATCACTACTAATCATCCTAGTGAACACAACAAAGAACTGCACATCAAAAACGTCATTATTATTATTTCTGATCTCTGATAAATTAGAAAAAAACTGTTATCCAGCAAGATACATTTCCTTGGTCCCAAGAAGCATGTAACATAGTAAACTGACTTGATAAGTTGAATAGCAGTCAGCGTGGTTGTAAAGGCACAATTGACTAAGCCGTCACTACTCAATTAAGTAATTAACAGACAATTGCAAGTACTAATACCCACCCGACACTAATTGCCCTGTTAATCCCTAGTCCACAATGAGTTGACATTGAGTTCATTTTGCTAATTAGCTGTTTTTAGAGTAGCAAGGTAATAAACATCAAAGGTGGGGCAGGCTTTGATCATGTGTTCTGTAGAAGAGATGATGTCACTTGTTTTATGTTTATTTAGGATTAGCTACATCCCTTGTTGCTACCAAGGCAGCCCTTGAGATTATCAGACAGTTTGGCTAGACACAAACTGATGTCTCCCGTGTAGCACACTATGTGTCAGACAAGGACTTTGACCACTCTGTGCAGATGCATATCAATGCATAAAGAACATTTGGTAGATGATTCAATAATGCCACACAAGTCAAAGTTGGGTTTCACTGCATTTAGAAACAGACGATGGATCCAAAACTTTATAACAGTAATTATGATTAATTTAAACTTTGCCAGGCCAATATTTTGGCAGATTTGCATGTTATTGTTAATCTTCATTAAGTTAATTTTCAAAAAAGATAGGATAAATGATAAAATATGATAATGAGTCATAAATATTTGAATTCAGATCAGAACAAACAGGGAGGGTCACCCCAAAATGTGAGAGTCTCTAGGGGAGGCTTTTGACAAAATGGACAATAAAATATAAAGTGCTTTGCATTTTCTTTCAGGGAGGGTTGTGTCAAAAATGAATGAGAACATACCGGTAATACATGACCGGCCCCTTTAATGTAATATACATAGTTTTTAGTTGATGGTTCAGGTTGTACTTTTTGGTTGAATTTCTTATCACTGTCTATGATGGACTACCAATTAACGGTAGATATTAAATATCCATAATAACTTAGATAAATGCTTCTACAGTCTCATCCTAATTTGTCATTAATGAATTAATGAATTTGGTGAGAATATGTATTGTCTGAATTCCTAATATACTTTCTTTTGTATTTGGTGTGCAAGGGTAGCCTAGTGGGTGAAACAGTCTCTGAAACCCGGGTTCAATTCACCACATGGGTACAATGTGTGAAGCCCATAGCTGGAATATTGCTAACAAGCTGCATGAAACTATACCAACTCACTCGCTCATTATGTTGTATTTTGAGATCACTTACATGACATGTGTTTTGATAATTATGAATAGTTGTATTCATTTATTTATGTATAAGAACCTATGTAATTAGTTTTGCATTGTCTTGTTTACCCTTCCTTACATTTTGATGATGCAAACATTCAAGCAAAATTCAGGTGAACCTTGTGGCGCTTAAGGTATTGTTTTAGAAAACCGGATACATATATGTATTTTCTGAACACTTTTCTGTTTGCAATGGCTTATTTACATGTTCAAAGATTGGTTAAATATCAGTTGCAAGATAAATTGTCAATACCTCACTGTTCGAGAAAATAACTTTAAACATTTGTAAATATGTGTGTGTTTCATAATTTTTGACTAATAAGTTTCTAAAGATGTTATGAAATGTTTCAGGTACCTGGATTTCACAATCTTACACCAGCTACATTTAAGAAGATCTTGCTCACACAATTCAGACAAGGGACTCGCCGGATGATGAACAGTCCTCCTGATAACAACCAACAGATTCACCTCAGAAAGTGATGATTCTGAATGAATAATGCCACATCAGTGTGACTGTAGGTGGTTTTATTAGGACACTAATGAAGTCTGAATGAATTTATGCCAAAGCACTGTGACTATGTCCAGGTTGTGTACACCGATGCTGACTATACAAATCTGAATGACTTTTGTGGTTTACTGCAGAAACATAATTGACTTTAGATATTCTTCTTCAATGAAATTCTTCTGAGATTTGACTTATTTGTTTATTTAGAAAATGGCATTGAAGCGTCTGTTCTGTAAGGCCTTGCAAACACCACTGTTTACTTTATGCTAGTTCCTCTTCTTGCTTGATCAAATTTCAATTTGTGATATGTACCAATGAAATGCCATATAACCAATAAATAAGATTTGTTTCCAAAAACATAATTTGTTTTGCTTCATTAGCATAAAGAAATATAATACTGATCAGCCATAACATAGGTGCTGAACAAATATAAAATGTAATAATGCCCTGAATGTTTTCCTACTATAAATACAGCTCACTTAACAAAAGTTGTAGTTCCACCTTAGTAGACAAATGACATTGATATTTTTTCTGTACTTTATTTAGGTGTTTTCTATGGATGCCATTAGTCTTATGCACCAATTTCTGACAATTGTATTCTGTTTCATATTCCCATGAAACTACACTGTCCTGATATAACAAGTACTGATACCGTTCCAAACTAATCTTTTATCTCACCAGGGCCAAATGCCAAAGCACATAGCCAATGACTTTCCATTTTCTTCTGAGTGAGAATGCTGATTTGCCACTTTTAGCAATATTGCAACAATATCATGGTGGGGGACACCAGCAATAAGCTTCACACATTGGACCAATGTCGCGAAACAACTTGTGAACAATGCATGCCCACATATCTCAGTTTGAGGAGGATATTTACAACTATAATAACACAGAATATTACAACAGGTACCTGTAATGCACAGGCTAACATTATTTACCAGAAGCAAGTCATGAAGAAAATTTGCATCCGGATACCTTCCGGAAACCTTCCAGATGCCTTCAACAACCTTCAAATTGCTTGGTATTTTCAAGTTAATTTTTGTACGTCAATTGCAAATTCTCTAAATGTCAGCACTTCTGAAGGTAAGTAAAAAAGAAATACAGAATAATAAACTTCAATTGCAATATTTTATTTAAAAATTACAATGGTGTTTATTTGTTTCAGCTAAAACTCGTTGGAGAAGTTTAAAGGACACGTACAAGCGCAAATAAAGAGAATTAAAAGAAAGCAGAAAAAGTGGTGCTGGCACTGCAGACATAAAGGAACTTAAAATGGTCCTGGTTTAAGTCCCTTGTGTTCTTGGATGATTATATGGAGGATGATTGGTAAGCTATTTACTATTTTACTAGTAATAAAATCATGTCAAACAAAGCTATCACTGTTTCAAAATTAGATAAGTAAAGTCAACAATCCCCTTCTTCTGCAGTACTGACAGCAACATGCCAAGCGACAAAGAAGACGCTGACGTCCAGGAACAAGATGATCTCCATAGTGACGACGAACAAACATCCCCACTGCAAGAACAAAACTTATGTAAGTTCATTAATCTTTCGTTGGAAACAAGCCTTTCCTTACAAGTTCGGTCTGCCAGGATAGTTGTCCTTGATTGTTAAAGTAATGCTTGTAGATGTCTCTGATTTGTTCAGCAACCTTGCTGTTTCGTCTGGTGTAATTGGACAGCCCTGCTAGCATTGAACACTCATCTCGTGCATGGTCTGGGGTGAGTGTTTCATTGGTTGTTCCAGAAGCACTTTGAAGGAAATTGTGAAGAACACACGGTGCCTTTACAATTTCCTTTGCTGTGCTCGGTTCCGTCATTATTTTGGTGTGAAACACTCTCCATCTTGTAGCCAGAATCCCAAAAGCGGTCTCGACTATCCTCCTGGCTCGGCTGAGGCGATAGTTAAAAATAGGCTCCTCTTCGGTTCTTCCTCGACCTCCATATGGTCTCATGAGATTCTTCAGCAAGGGCAAACCTTCATCAGCAATAAATACGTAGGGGAGTTCTCAAAGTTCCTCAGCTCCTGGGAGTGCTCTGTCTTGTGGCAACGAGAGAGATTCATTTTTGAGTGCCTGTCCAAATTTTGATGAGCGATATACACCAGAATCATTGTTCATACCATATGAACCTACATCAATTGTGATGAACCTGTACTTAGCATCAACTGCAGCCAGGAGGATGATGGAGAATGTGCCTTTGTAATTGTAAAATACTGATCCCGAGTTGGCTGGGGCTTTCATCACTACATGTTTTCCATCGACAGCTCCACAGCAATTTCGGAACTGCCAAGATTCCTCAAACCCATTGGCTACTTCTCTCCAATCATCAGATGTTGATGGCACCTTCATAAACTCTGGCTGCATTGTCTGCCAGATAGCAGCACAGACGTCCTTCACGATGAGACCAATAGTTGTTGCTCCGATTCTATAGTTGTAGGAAAGACACGTGAAAGATTCCCCTGTGGCCAGATATCTGAAAATATAAAGCACATTTTTCAATTGATATGTAAAAACAATAACTATCATTTCTATCTATTTCAGGCGGAAGAAACGTAGCATGTCTGTGTCTGCCTCCCCAAGCACCTCATCAAGGTCTGTTTCTCCTTCACCCGCACCACCCAAAAAGAAACAAGTGAAAAAAAAATCCAACAACGAAGAGTCATCTCAAATAGTGTCGATGTTAAAGGAGAGCCGTGAGAGAAACCAGGAGAGGCAAGAACAACGGGATAAAATATTTGCCAGTGTCCTTAACAAAGATCACAACAGTGACGGGCTATTTTGGATGTCATATGCTGCTCAACTGAGTCAACTTTCAGAATCCAGCAAGAGCATGGTCAAAATCAAACTTGCTCAGATGTTCCACGAAGCTACTTTTGGTTCAAATGTCCACAATCAAAGTTACTACCCACAACAAGCGGGTACTTTTGAATACCAACCACAAATGTGGAATATTTAACAATATTTGACAATCAGAATGGCTCACAATAATTGACAGAGAGTATAGCTCACAATATTTGACAAAGAGTATAGTTCACAATATTTGACAAATAGTATTTTATTTAGATTTTTAAAATCTTATTTTGTACCATACACCGAAGAGTGATAAATCAATGATTTTGAAGTTTGTTCTTTTTTTAAACCAACGCTAAATGAACGTAACTGACCGTAATGTAACTGCCAATCTCTCCCTAGGTGAAATGGACTTGCGGAGCCGTGTGTGTCTTGTCTTTTGATGACATCTTCAATTTTCGCCTAAACGTAATCAAACATATCTTTCGGCATTCTGAATTATCCATGGAATTTATCACAATCCTCTTCTAGTTCCTTCACCAAACGATGGTAGGATCCCTCATCCAGACGATGGTTGGTGAAAGGATGGATCAACCATTTTCTTTTCCCCCTTTCTCTTTCTTAAACATTGCCAGACATGCAAAAAGTTCCTCCTCCTCCATTTCTTCATCCTCAGACTCCTCCAAAAGGACAAGGCAAGCTATTCTTAGAGGCCATAATTCTAAAAGAAATAAGAAGACAATTCATTGCATGACAGAACGCATGTAATTCGCATATAGTGTGTTGATAAAATCGCACGTCAGTGTAATCGGATATATTGTGGAGTTTCGGGTTTTGGCCGTTTGCTGAATAGAACATGGGCTCACGAACAAGGGCACAATGTCGAGATTAAAGCATTACCACCTCTGTTTATATCAGATATGTTATTGTGATTTTAAATCTCTTTTGGAACAATTGCGAATTATTGTATTCTTTCGTCATAGTAGAATATATATTTTCTATGTTGCTCTTTGAATTATCCGGAAATAATGAGAACTACAATGTAAACATCTATCTGGAGATATACAATAATACTACTGAAGTGCATATCTGAAAAATGGGACTAATCGACTAATATTTCTTTCTTAAACACTGTCCATTACAGGCATTCTAATCATTATATTATACTTTGAATAGTTTAAAAGTTGAGAAATATTGCATTCTAATAATGGCAAATTGTGTATTTTTTGAATACATTTTGAATTCATTATAATTCTGCAATAAAACCTTAACATCAGATAGTGATATAAACGAATATGATCTATGATGTGATAAATGAATTATTAATTTCGTATTATGAATTAAATAAATTGAAATATGATAGTACAAACAAATTATTTTAATCTGTTCGTGTGAGTAGGTAACGAAAGATCGAGGCAACTCACTGACGTAACCATTTGTGAAAAGTCAAATATTCAAAGTTTAGGGGTTTGAACATGTGCATTGAATAACAGACAAGAAAGCAACACAATGATTAAATTATTAATCAAATTATTTGATAAATAAAACTAAATATATAGAAAATAAAAGTTTAATTTATCATTGTTGGAAGGTGTTTAATAATAGTTTTTGTTTGATTGTTTGTTGTTAAACGCCGCACTCAACAATATACCAGCTATATGACGGTGGTTTGAAAATAATCCAGTCTGGGCCAGACAATCCAGTTATTGACATCAAGAGCACCGATCTACGCAATTGCGATACGATGACATGCATCAACCAAGTCAGGGAGTCTGACCACCCGATTAGTCGCATTCGTACAATCATGGGTTGTTGAAGGCCTATTCTAACCCGGATCTTCACGGGTATTTTTTTTTAATAATAAGGCACAATGAAATTCTGTATATGTCCATAATAAGTGTATATGTAAATGGATATAATATCCATACACGCCAATTAAATGGGTTAGACTGAATATGGTTCAATGATGAACTCTTTTACAAGTCTATATTTCAACAAATGTATTTTATATCCAAAATAACTCCACAAAAGCTACACAAGTTAAATAATGTATCTAAATAGTAAATTAGGACTAAAAATATACACTTCCGACATTTTTCGTAATTTTTTTCGTTTGGAGAGAGAAGTAATGACAATAGTGACTGGTATCTGATGGGTGCAAACAGGTGTCGAGTCGCTGTCTCAGATGGCTCTAATTTCGTAGCTCTAAAGATCACGACGGCGATACGGGCCGTGAAGTAGTTTGTCTCACAGTCCCTGAACCATATTATTTTCCCTTCCGCCCAGGCCTTACTGCAATGCTATGGCCCCAAATGAAACAAGCCTAGATGTTCAACAGGTTCAGGCTGAAATTTCCATCTCACTTGGGCTCCTTTTAAATTTAAATATAGTTTCTCGTTTTAACCAAAATAGTCTAACGTTAGTCTAACCGTGAAGTACAACTATCCAAAAGATCCAATGCATGTCCATATCTCTTCAGACATACTCTCCATGTTCCTATCGATATGTATCAAAAGACAAATGAATTAAATATTACAGCACTGGTGAATAGGTTATATGCGCATGTCAGCGTCGATCCTACAATATCCTTTTTCGCAAAATACATATACTGATGAATTAACGTAGCAATACTACGCAAATATATGTCCAGATGTATATATACATCAGTTTCATCTCGAGATCTTAATTCGTTCTTTTAGCTCTTTTTCTACAGGAGATTATGGGGTGGTACATCACACCAGAATGCCAGGTCCAAATTAAAATCATATTTCATGGTCCGTCTTGTATGTTGGAAACCAATATCGCAATATGGCTGAATATTGCTAAACGTTGTATTTGCCCGATTACTTACATAATTTTTCCATTTTCTTCATGCACGTTCTACAATAATCTACGATCACTATCTATAAGGAGGTATATCTATATTCATCCAAATATCCATACATATATGTCCACATATATATGTATTAAGCAAGTCCCACATTCTTCCTTAAAAGATAAATGCTAAGCATTTCGTCTGTATGCATTTATATATGTAAATATCGTTTTAATGTCAACGCTGATGCAGTGAACGTACCACAGACTTGATGCTAGAATAAACATCTAATCTCTGAAATGAACATATTTTACAGAAAACAAACAATTGTTAAACAATAGTTATAAAATATAATAAAAAGGAGCCAAGATACTTTCTTCATTTTGCCAAAATTGGGCTGTATTGGACATATTTGTTTCGGGGTCTGTATGACAGACCTAATGCTTTTAAGTATAAAGATAAGTAAGTACAGAACTTTGGATTTCGGCAAGCTTCGTGCTCAGGGGGATGTTTGTGCGGGTTTAAAGGATTCGGGTCCTGGCTTGAGTTTTGTGTTGGACGTGTAGACGGTATATCCAGGTTTGACGTATCAATGACCAAAATAATGTCTGATGCAATTCTCTAGTTTGACTTGTACTGTGTGTTTCCGTGCCTTTTCGGGTGAACAATTGGCTTGCCTTTGCATGTGTTTGTGGCGGGTGCCACTAGTGGATCGGGATGAGCTCGCCTTTTTGCGAGCAGCCAGTGTCATCATTTTTTATGGTGAATAATGAAACATGCTCCTGTGTTGTCGGAATCGTGAAGTTGGCGCTACTTTTGGCAAGAGTGTCTTATGATAATGGAACGGCTTATGTCGCTTTTGTCAACTGATAAACATGAGATATAATATATAATGTCAGTGTATATGGTCATGTAATTCAGAAACAAACCGCGAGTGGGAGTTGTTTATTGTACGATAAACAACGACCACGACTCGGTTATTTCTTATATGAGATATGAACATTACGTACAGCCTCTTTAAGGGTGTTTAATTAGGAAAAAGTACACGCTTTAAAAATATTTACCCGTACATAAATAATGATGACTACCTGAATAGAATCCGACCGCGGCAATGCAAGATAAATCCATTTTATGAACAGGAGGGTTTGAATTTGGTCTTTCCCGCATATTCTCAAAATATTATCTGTACCTTTTCTCCTAATACCCATTGTCATTTCGCTCTCACTTTCGGATGCGATTGTTCGGGCATTGCATTTATCTGCCTTCCCAAGCTACTTCTATTGGGAACAACTCACTAGACACTTGCCTTTCACAAATAACGTCAAATTTACGACGTCCTCGAGTTGCGAGTGCATGTTCGAATTTCCATAAATGATGTCATGATAGAACAATGTTTTTTCGTGAAATGAATAACGCTTCCTTCTTCTTTGTTCTTTGCGATTTATCGCGAAACTGTCTTATATCATCAAATGTCAATTTCTCATTGCTTTATCATGACGTATCCGTGTCAAAACCAATCATGTAGCGATAGCATACACAAATATCGTTGACTTAGACATAGAATAGTGTTACTTATCCTCAACTGAAGTAGTCCTCCACACTATACATTCAGTGGAGAAGCCCATGAACATATTAACTAAGTAACATACATTAATGGAAATTAGATGAACAGTTGAAGTTAGCAAATGATATTATTCGGTCGAACGTCTATCAGCCAATACTACATTATTGAATTGTGAGTCTACAGTGATTTTTGCAAGGCTACTCTCATAAAAGTCACGACGCATTTTAGGCCAGGGTTTTATACTCGCATTAATGTGCTGACTTAACAACAGACAGACAATCCAGTGACAATCCAGTGATTGATATCACGAGCATCGATCCACGCAATTGAGATACAATGACATGCATCAACCATGTCAGCGAGCCTGACCACCCGATCCCTTTAGTCGCCTCTTACGACAAGCATATTCGCCTCTAACGGCAAGCATGGGTTGCTGAAGACCTATTCTAACCCGGATCTTCACAGGTCAAGTGGGATTCAACTGATATATTAAGATGAAATAAAACTGAATTATATTTGCTGTTTACATATCAAAATTGTTAAAAAATGTTTTGCCACAGCAAGGCTACGTATTCACAACATATTGTGCTAGGCACGGTATAACTGGACTGAGGGAGGCCTTATTCCTCCTTGTGGGTCACCTTCTTGGCAATATGGGACGGGAAGGGGGTGGGGGCAGTTAAGTTGATTGTACAAACAGATAAGAGAGACCATTTTACAAATGTGAAACCTTATTCAACAAAGGAAGAGGCGAAAGCTGAAACTTGGTGAGATTTACAGAACAAAGGCTGTTATTTCTAATTTCGTACTGACTCTCAAGGATACATTTAATATAACAATTAATTTGTGTGTGTGTGTGTGTGTGTGTGTGTGAGAGAGAGAGAGAGAGAGAGAGAGAGAGAGAGAGAGAAAAAATAAGAATTGTACAGCATAAAAATGGCTACGTAGTTCGGGTAGATATGTAGAATGCCCGGCCAGTATGACCTTTGTGATGCTACATTTTCATTAATAAAACATTTAATGAGTAAAAGAAAACACTATAAGTGAGTGAAACAAAATCCATCAGTACAGGCACACCCAGTCCCCCAACCCCAAGTATGCATGTATCAATACTCGTACCTGCCACATCCTCAACCACTCACTATCATCTCACTACATGTTCGCCAACCCTCGTATCACAACTCATGGACGCATGCACGCACACACACGCACATCGCATTCATCTTTCCCCTGCACGTCCCTACAACCATCTCATTATGTCTGTCCCATCATGGATCCATGCGTATACTTACATACATTATCCACCCTCCCACCATCCATCGAACTATAACTATATCCACCC